AAGAGCCACTAAGTGTGTGATTCCTATATCTTTTGTCACTTAGCCTTGTTTTCTTTTAATGTTGTTTCCCCAAAACTCAAATACACACACACGCACGCACACATGCACAAGCATTGCAGGAATTGGTAATGATAAGAGCCACTAAGTGTATGATTCCTATATCTTTTGTCACTTAGGCTTGTTTTCTTTTAATGTTATTTCCCCAAACCTCAAATACACACACACACACGCACACATGCAGAAGAATTGCAAGTATGAAGCTGTCAGTCTTTTCTTTGTATTTGTTACTGTTGGGGACCGTAAGCAATTTTAGTTCTGCTGAGGGAGACTTTGAGAATACCTGGATTATAGTAGTGAAATAAGCAGGGTTTTTTTAAAGCACTACATTTCTCCTTAATTGTGAAGAGCTTTTGAGCGGAAACAAAAATTTGATTGCTGGTGGCAGCAGCCTTACCTTTAGTATGAAGAAGTGCGTATGAACACAAAACTCTGAATAAAACTCTGTTGGTCTTAAAGGTGCTGCTGGACTCCAACTTTGTCAAGTGAAATGTTTATATCATCTTGGAAAAAGTTTGCAGCCAAACATGTGTGTGCTTCTGGTAACAGGAAGAACTTGACCGATAAATTTTAACCTCATTGTGTTACCTAATTGCATCATCTACCTCATTGGTCTGAGTTATATTGTCCTGGGATGCTTTGAGTGGTGAATATTTGGCTGGAGGCTTGTTGCATTTCTATCCCCCTGTCACTTGCATGCCACTCTGTTATCTGTCTGTCATGTGTCACAGCTGCACCTGTATTAGTGTCATTTTAAGAATACTTAAAATAGCTGTAAAATAGCTCTTATTTCCAACTTAAAAGCATTAGGAAAATGAATGTGCTTAGGCTTCTGTTCATTACTTTAAACCAGAAGCATCCTTCACCTTAAGTCATATGTGGCTTTCCTGGCAAACAAAATGCACTTCCTCTGTTCCTGAAAAAGAAATTTCTTCTGAAATGAAAACTACCATTCTTCTCCCCCTCTCTTTGCCCTGCCATTTTTATGTCAAAGAAATGAAATTGGTGTGACCACCTTTTCATGCCACCCTCTTTCCAGGTTTCTAATTTACGATATAATTGCTTTTTTATTTTTCCTGAGGGCTGTAGTACTGAATAATCTTATGGCCGCTTGACACACAAAGATGGAAGTGCAAGACAGCCCGAGGGGAAGATACAAATCAGAATCCTCCCACTAGGGCATGCTGGGACAGCAGGGTTCTAACTATTTCATTTTCCTTATAACTACTATTCTTCACAGCACAGTAGCTGAGCTATGCAGAAAACATGGAAGATTTGGTGAAGTTTCTGCCTTTGGAAGACAATAAACAGACTAATCTGCCTTTATTATATAGTTTCCTGCAATGTTCTGCTTCACTTTTTCCTGTCTTCATTAAGTGATATTTGTGGGCTCTGCTCCTTTGCTTTTCTTTTCTCCCATAAGCTTACAGTATATCTGTAGCAGTTGTTTCTTATCTGTACATGTTTAGGGTAGGGATGCCAACCTCCAGGTGGAACCTGGAGTTATTCCACTATTACAATTGATCTCTAGACAGCCAAGATCAGTTTCCCTGGAGAAAATGGCTTCTTTGGAGAGTGGCCTCTATGGCCCTATAACCTCCTGATATCCTTCCCCACACCTTGCTTTCCCCAGGCTCCACCCCCCAAATCTCCACGTATTTCTCAACCCAGAGCTGGCAACCCTAGTCCAGGGACATAATGAAAAGATCTTTTGGAGCATTTCCCAGTTTCAGGCTCCTTTCCCAGTTTCTGTTGCCCATTAAAGCCCAAGCACTCACCAAAATACTGTCAGGGTCGATAGTCAGATCACACCACACAGTGCTTCATAAGAAGTATTCTGTTTATTGGTAAGTCATAACGTGAACGTTTTTGTCAGGAATGGCCCAAAGCAGCAGGGCACCCAAAGTTATAGTAGTTTCAAAGCACCCCCCATTACAAGCAAAAGCCAATAAGCATTGTGCATTGCGCGCGTGGGAGAAAAGTGAGCGGTCAAAATAGAAGCCGTTTGTTCCCAGCAGGTCAGGAGCAGCTGGAACCCCATAAACAGATAACAACCCAGACAGGAGACATCGTTAGTGTATCAGATTGAGGAGGGAGGATCCCCCACACACACTTTCCAGAGACATGGCAGTGTTAACTGACAAATACTTATGTATATGGAATTAACATTTCTTCTACCACCTCTAGCTTCATGCCTTCGAATCTGTTGCGTTATCTTTCAGTGGTAGCCAAGTAAATATACATCAGTTCTCCCTAGTTAAGTATGTGCCAGTAATAAGGGCTCTTTGATGGTAGGGAAGCAGTATAAGTTTGGAAATGAACACTGAGACCTGAATATGATGAAATCAGAAATGAGGTTTATTAAGTTGAGCAATACTATCTCAGAGGAGGACACACAGCAGTTCCAAGCAATAAAAATAATACCAAGTACCCAATGCATAGTACCTTCGAAAACATGTTATTCATGCAGGGAAGAGTGGAAGGACAAGTAAGAGAGGAGTTCATAGATATTGATTGGGAAGTTGGGTGAGGTCTAACACTCATGGAAGAGATCAGGCAGCTTGGCAGCAAATTGAGCAAAGGGGAAGGGGGAAGGACAGGGCTGTGACTTACTTGCCAAATGGGAGCCCTGTTAAGCTCATAAGAAAAAGCAGGGGCCACCCTGCCAAGTATTTGGATGGTAGACCTCCAAAGAATACCAAGGTTGGGAGGGAGAGGCAGGCTATCAAGTCACTTCTCTGAACATCCTCCTTGCCCCAGTAGGAGGCAGCAGAGGTTGCCATAACTTCCAGGCATGGGTGCATGCGCACACACAGACACACACACACACACAGAGAAATGCAAAAATACAAAAAAAGGAAGTATTTGGAGAAGACAAAAAAATTGTCTTCCCTGTTATACGTTGGGAATTGGGTGTGGCAGGGACAGAGGGCAGGAGGGAGTGGCTTGTGAACCCAAATAAGGCAAAACTGGGACAATTCTAGGATTGAATAGGAATTGTAGAACTTTTTTTAAAAAATAAACAGAATATATATGCATTGCAGTACTTTAGATGGAGACATGTGCAAGACTCAAAGACCAGATAAATGGGACAAGGGATATAAAATGACAAATAGGGATATTGTTTTTAGGAAGAAACCTTAGAAATGTTAATTCCTCCTTTTTTCTTTCTTTCTGAAACGTTTACATGTACAGTTCAGTGCTTGAATGTCATAGCATGAGAAACTTAGGTATTATGTTTCTTTTTAATGAGAAGGAATTAAATCATGTTTCGAAATTCTCAAAATTGTGTTGGTATGGAGAAGAGATTTTTGCTGCTTGTCAGCCAAGACATCAAGAGCAACAGTGACCCAGTGAAGCAAGACAAAAACAGCTGTCTGAGGATAACTGGTTCTATATTTTAAAAAAGAGTGAGAGAAAGAATTTTTCATGGAGTGATCTGAAACAATGGCAAGTTTTGTCACAGTGGTTCTCTATCCACTCTGTGATCTTATCGTTGACTGTGTGTTGATGCCATGCAGTGGGCTGGAAAGCAGGTTCTTTTGGTGCAAGTCAGGCACACTTTTCACTATATATTAACATGATGTGTGAGGTACTGACTCAGGCTGGGTGATGAGAAAGAATTGGGGGATTGTGCCAGTGTTAATGAAACACCACCACCTGGAGTTTGTTACAAGCAGATTATACAAGCTGAAGCAGCATCCCTAACAGCCTTTGCTAATGCAGGATCCATTCTTGTAGCACATGAGAGGTATTTACATTTTATCCAGACAAGCCCATTATGTTTCTCCTTCAATACAGTTTCAAAGCTGGATAGGAATCCCACTGTTGACAAGTTGTTTTAGTTTACTCCTTATAGCTTGATGTTCAGAGAAGATAAAATGGAATTTATGGTGATACCCAAAGGAAAACCGTTTGAATAAAAATATAGGGTTTATTTCTTGATGAGGGACAAAATTTACTAGCAGATAGGATAACAAGAAGAGTTTTGAAACTGCATAAGAATTAATTTTTGGAGATATAAGTATTCTATAGATTTGGTTGTCAGATCCTGTGGTGCTCAAAAGCCTTGCAGATAAAATATTCCTTGGGCAACAGGCTCCCTGAACTCTGCCTGTGGTAATGGTGATACTAGTCAAAAGAGGTCATAAGCAATTTCATTGGGGACATTAACACAGAACCTACCACTTTCAGGTGACTGAAAGAGGGCCTGTGTGGTCTTCCCCCACAATGTAGGAAGTTTCTTTGCTAAGAGAAGTCAGCTGGTTTGCCCTTTCTGCCTACTGCCAATCTTAAATATTCACACACTGTTAGCCTGAATGCCTGTCATTGCTAAAGCAATTATTGAAGATAAAAATGAGGTTTTAATTGAAACTAATGTAAGCATTCTAAAACAGACTATTATGAATTTAGTTTGGAAGAAATACACTTGTTTTAGAATTATATAAAACCCCTATATAAGCTTATCGAGAAAAGGATCTCATAAGGATGCTAAGAACAAAGTAAAAACTAAAGGATTAGAAAATTCAACTGTTCTCCAACAAGTTTTGTCTTTTGATTTGGAATTTTCATTTTTCACATGCATTTGTCCAAAGGAAGAATTACAGAATTATTTCTATGGAGAGTAGGGTTGCCAACTTCAAGGTGGGGCCAGGAGATACCCTGGAATTACAGCTGATCTCCAGGGTACAGAGATCAGTTCCCCTGGAGAAAATGACAGTTTGGGAGAGTGGCCCTTATGGCATTATACCCCACTGAGGTCCCGCCCCCCCCTAGGTTCCATGCCCAAAATAATGCAGGAATTTTCCACCCAAGTGCTGTTTCTCAAGTACTGGTTTTATCTTGGTGGTACAATCAGTGATCATTCTACTCCATCCTTCAGTGAAGGAAATGACAAAAGCATATTGTACAAGGTATTGTAAACCATTACTTTTCTTTTATAGCTTGCCGATCAGGGTTTTACAAAGCCTTTGCTGGTAATGTGAAGTGTGCCAAATGCCCGCCTCATAGCTCTACAAGTGTGGAGGGTTCTACAAACTGCAAGTGTGAAAAGAACTATTTTCGATCAGAGAAAGATCCCCCATCTATGGCTTGCACAAGTGAGTAGTGATCGCATTTTGACTTTGAATCACAGCCTCCATTTTTCACTTGGCACTTTAGCCCTGTGCTTTCCACAATTTAAAAAGAATTTACATTGAAAGCAAAACTACTGCAAAGAAAGAAAGAAAGAAAGAAAAAGAAAGCTAAACAGGGTATTTGTCTTTGGGTTTTTTCTGAGTATCAAGCATTATCTTTAGTAGAGAGATAAATTAATTATATATCTCCACTGTGCAAAAAAAGGGGGGAGCCTTTAAACTTTGGCTTGGATCCCACTGAAAATCAGATGGTGGCTCTCTGCTTTGCTCCTTCCCCTGCCTGCTTCAGTCCAACATGCTGCCCAAAGCTATTCCTGTGGGACAGGAGACTCCAAGGAACAGCATGAGGGCAGTTAGAGGTCTGCCTTGGAAGGGGGGAGTCAGTGGAAATTAACCCCCTTGTGCATGAAGAAATGAACAACATGATCCAAACCTCTGCTTAGTATTTTTATTTCACAAAAGGTACAGAATGACCTTTATTGATAATTTCTTTTCATTGCTTTCCTTCAGTTTTCTGTAAAAGAGAAATTAGTCAAAGAGTTTCGAAAGTTCCTAAAATTGATACTGTTCTTTTCAAGAAAGGCATTTTTGGTCAGTTGCAAACAGGGTTCACTTCCTCTAACTTGAAAATTGTTACTTAAGAGAAACTTGTTTTAATAAAAGATCAGTTTTAAAATTGGAAGTTTAGTGAGCTGTCTTTGGAAACCGAAACCGATAATAACAACAAAATTGATAATAACAACAGCATGGCATCATTTTTGGGTGCCTTTTTATGTCTTTCTGTAATGTTATTTATAAGTAATTTCTTCCATTTTCCTTTGCAGGACCACCCTCTGCTCCCAGAAATGTTATTTCTAATATCAATGAAACATCAGTTATCCTAGACTGGAGCTGGCCTTTGGACACTGGGGGCAGGAAAGATGTCACCTTCAACATCGTATGCAAGAAATGTGGAGGGACTGCCAAGCTGTGTGAACCATGCCGTGCCAATGTAAGATTTATTCCCCGTCAGACTGGACTCACCAATACCACTGTGACTGTAGTAGACCTCCTGGCACATACCAACTACACATTTGAGATTGATGCAGTTAACGGAGTTTCAGACTTGGGTGCCCGGACAAGACAATTTGCTTCTGTCAGCATTACAACTAATCAAGCTGGTGAGTACTGCTCTGGTTGTTTTACTGTCATAGGCCTAGTGCTCTCACAGCCATTGAGGTTGTAAACCTGTATCTCAAATGTTCTACTTCAGATTGTCAGAACAACGTTTGAGTCCAGTGGCACCTTTAAGACCAACAACATTTTATAAAAGGTATAAGCTTTTGTATGCAAGCACACTTCTTCAGACACATGAAAGCTTATACCTTGAATAAAACTTTGTTGGTCTTAAAGGTGCCACTGGACTCAAACTTTGTTCTGCTGCTTCAGACCAATATGGCTACCCACCTGAATCTAACTTCAGATTGTAGTTAGTGTTCTATGTAACTGAAAAATTCTCCATATGAAAGATATTATAATTACTATTATATTAAGAACATTTTTATTCCACCCTTCCTCTGAGGTGTTACACATCATTCTCCCTCTTTAATGTTATTTTTACTACAACCTGTGTGGCAGGCCTGTCTGAGAGGTAATGAATGATCAAAGGCCACCTAGTGAGCTTCATGAGAGTGTAGGGATTTGAAGTTGGGTCTCTCAGATCCTATTCTGATATGCTCAATATAGTGGTTAAGAGTGGCAGACTTAAATCTGGAGAAACAGGTTTGATTGTTTGATTCCCCATTTCCCCACTTGAAACCAGCTGGGTGACTTTGGGCAAGTCACTACACTCTCAGCTTAAACATAAGCATAGCTTGCCACCTAGTGGTGCCAAAAAAGAGCTGCAGCTTCAGGCAGCCAAACAATCCTTTGGGATCTCCTGGGTATTCCAACGCAATGCCAAAAGATAATATATTTAATTTTCATGATATTTTGAACAGTTTACACATCATCTCTTCAATTTTTGTTGCACATAGGGGAAAGAACAGAGTCTTCTGCACCTTAAAGACTGAAGGATTTAACATGACATAAAGTTGTTACCAACTTCATCCAAGAGATAAAAAATAAAACCAAAGCTGATGGTGCAAGTAAAATGAAAATATGTTTTATTACTCAGTAAAAATTCCCTATGTGTTTCACCAACAGGCTTCTTCAAGGGAATCTGTTAGGTTTGCAGTGTTTCTTCTTTTTATTGTGTCAACTAAACCCTGGTATATACTGGCGTTCTTTTACTGACAATTGCTACTGATCTTGGGCTCTTGTTGAATAAACACTTAAGAGTAGCACATTCCCCTGAAGAAGCTAGTTGGCAAAACGCACAGGGAATTTTAAGAGAGTAATAAAAAATATTTTACTTTACTTGTACCATTGGCCTTGGCCTTATTTTTTATCTCTTCGTGACTGGTGTGGCCCTTTTATTTTCTACCAACTTCATCCAATACATGAAGCATTATTCTCGGTTGGTGTTTGTGTGTGTGTGCATACATGTACCCATGGCATACAGCAGTGAGCATGTGACCTGTCTTTCCTATTTCAGATCAAAAATGTATGTAATATAAGAACCAAATGGCTTGTTCATAGGAGCAGTGATAGTGCTATCACTATACAGCTATCTTCCTAAATGTCTGTGCTAACTAGACACCTGTAGTGCAAAAGAACAGAGGCAGAAAGCAAAGTAGCAGAATGTCTCTTGTTTGTCATCTATAATTTCTATATATTCCAGCTAAAAGTAATCCAGCATTTTTATCATTAATATGCAGCCAGTACTGGAAAACGATACTTTCTTACTTTCTCTATGGGATTTGATCATATGAGTATTGACGGAAGTATTACACAGTGGCACATGGATTTAACATCTTATCTGCTATTAATGCTGGGCTTAATTTTTGAGGACGTGATAATCTTTTCTCCATTCCCATTTTACAACTACTGGAGAAATGTACACATTTTCATTTCTTTAGTATCTGGGGAAAAACTACTTCAGTGAATGTGAACAGGATCAATTCTTTGACTGTTGTATGGTATTATTGCCTAGGGGTTTGGCAAAACTACTATCAGGATCAACTCCTATTTTGCACTATCAAATAACGTTTTAGTCTGCTGCTACAGAAGGAATGTATTTTAATAATAAAATCAGACTTTAAAGGCAGTTTCATTCCAGTAATCTCCAATATAATTTAGTGAAGTCATGTAAGGCATTAATTTTGATTTAATAGAAGAAAATTATGTGCTTTGATGTTGGGGATATAAAAGGCTAGCATTGACACTACAAGAATTTAATAATATTTTGGGTTGCATATTTGCCCTGAACATGCTGCCTGCTCCCTCACCACCAGCTCTACAGGATGTTACTATAAAATGCTGATCCAGCAGTTGATGGTGTTCAGATGACTGTCAGTGAGTCCATTTGTGCCTATAGGATTTGACAAGTGCAATTTTGGTTATATGGATGCTGAATAAATGAAGAGCATAATTTTCATTTAGAAAAATGTCATTTATGCTTACAACGGCTCTAACAAGTGCATACTTAAAAGACTAATCATGCATTCTCTGCTGTTTTAACTCTTAGCAAAATAATGACTCTTTCACTATATTTGGAATTCTATCCCAGGGCACTGAAGAAGATTGCAGATTTTATGAGAGAGCCTCTGGCTGTCATCTTTGATGATTCTTGCAGAAGATGAGGTGCCAGAGGACTGGAGATGGGGAAAGGTGGGCTTAGAAAACTCCTGACCAATCAGCTTGATGTCTGTACCTAGTGAAATTCTAGATGATACTATTAATCAGTCATTCTGCGAGCATACTTTTCTAGAATTCATTGATTACTTTGAGCTATCAAGAATAAGTCAGACCAACTTTATCTCCTTTTTTGATAAAGTAACTAGTTTGGCAGGCTGTGAGAATTTGGTGAACTAATATCTCAGCAAGTTTTCAGTGTGGACAAGAAGTCTGAATGAGGGCTGGTTGATACTACTGTTAGATATGTCATAGTTAAATGGCTTCATGTTATCCTGGAGGAAGATCTTCAATGGAGTGCTGCAGGGTTCTGTCCTAGGCCTTGTGCATTTCCACATTTTATAAAGTACTTGGTTGAGGGTGTAAAGGGAATACATATAAAATTTTCAGGTGATGTGAAGCACCAAGGAGCAGTCAGGACTCAAAATGATCCTAACAGTCTGAAAAATACATAAGCAGAGATAAATATAAAATCTTACATTTAAGGTTAAAAAAAATCAAAGACATAACTCTAGGCTGGGGTCTTACAGTGCAGTCCTATACAGAGTCATTTCAGTAATTTCAGAAGGTTTAGACTGGAGTTACTCTCTTTCACTATTGCTCACAAGTTGGAATAAGTCTGTGTAGGACGGCACTGTTGATCACAAGCGAGGATGTGATTCAGCAGTATAGTGTGATGGCTAAAAAATCCTAATGTACTTTTTGTGGCTGCATTATCAGAAGCACAAGGTCCAAATTACAGGAAGTAATAGTTCCACTCACTGCTCTGCATCTGTCAGGCCTCGTCTGGAATACTGTATCCATTTCCAGGCCCCATATTTTAAGAAGGACATCAACAGATGACAGCATAAGCAGAGCAGGGTTTGCCAGGATACTGATGGGTCTGTAAATCAAGCCCTATGAGCAAAGGTTGAATGAGCTGGGTATGCTTAGCCTGGAGAAGAGAAGGCTAGACATGATTACTGTTTTGAAATATCTGAAAGGCTATAATGTAGATAATGGAACAAATTACAGTCTGTTGTTCCAGAAAGCAGGAATAAAATTAATCAGAGAAACTTTCACAGAGGTAGATTTCAGCTAAATATTAGGAGGACCTTCCTAATAGTTAGCAATGTTCAGTAATGAAACAGACTTTCTTGGAAGATGATGGACTCTCTCTATCTGGAGTACTTAAGCAGAGGATGGATGGCCACCTGTCAGGAATGCTACATTTCCTGCATTGAACAGGGAGTTGGACAAGATGTCCTCTAAGGTTCCTTCCAATTCTGAGTGGGAGAAAAAGAACCAGTCCCTCTTTTAAATCTTATAAAGTTAATGATCTATTTTCCTGAATACAAAATTTACATATTCTGTATTTTGTAAACATAACCTGCAATGACATGCCTTCAATAACTGCAATAATGCATGATTTCTTGCTGTATCTTTTTGTCACCTGTGATCTGGAAACAATATTATATATGTTGTAGCTTTTGATGCTCACTTGATTTGGCTTCTATCAATTTACATTTTATTATGTTGTCAAGGCACAGGCTTACAGCATCAGCTATCAACCATGCTGAAGGGAACAATGCTTCACCCTAGCCCACAATAATATGTTTTTCAAACAGATGTTATCTAATAACACTAATCAACCCTGCTTAGGATGGGTCACTGACTGCTACAGGAGAATTATATGAAATCCAGAATCCCCAGAGGCAAAGTGCTAATTATGAATGTGTCAGGGAGAGAGATGGACAGCTGTGCTACACTTGACAAACTCATATACAGATTTATCTTGTCTCCGGGGCCAGTGCTGTTTGGTGCCTAGGTTTTCAGATCAGATATCTGGCTCGTTATCATACTAAAAGATCACTTACATGTTTGACTATGTTTATGGCTACCTGGATCTTTTGGTAAATTGTTCACATTATAGATTATGAATCAGAAGTAGGAATAGCAGTGTCTCATCTTTTCCTTTTCAGGATTATTGTGCCGGCACAAAAGTCCTAGTGAAGATGAATATGATTTAAAAAGAAACAGTATCCAATGTAAATTCATATTCTGTACATCAAAATTTAAAGACTGGACAAACAATCCACAAAATAATTTCTATAATTTTGGTACAGTAGTTCTAAAACAAACATTCAGAATAAAACTTCCAGTTTTTTGCAGGTTTACATATTCCAATATTGTCTAAATAAAATATAAACAGAATGTCTGTAAATACTGCAAATCTCTACTTGAGATGCAAAATAAAGCTTTCAGAGCTCAGGTTCTTCTAGGTAAGCTGGTTGCCATAAGTGGCAGGTAAATAAATTTTGAGGAAGATAGTAGCACTAAACCCCTGATACTTTTGTTAATATAGAAAAGCTGTACAGGCCATTTTTTAATTTTGTGGTACAGAAAT